GCCTGCGCCCCACTCTGGGATGTGGTTGGCGGGGTCCGCTGGCTGAGACCCTTCACCCCACAGCGTGCGCAGCCTGCAGGGCAGAGCTCTGAGAAAAGTCAGTTCGTGCTCAAAACCTCTGGACCCCCTGGCCAGGGGCAGCTGGCGATTGCAACTCCCTCCCTCCCTGGTCCGGACTACGCACAACTGGTTTGGAAGAGAACGGTCCTGTGATCACAGGGACATTAGTGGACACACGGATGCGTGTTTCATAAGCCCAACCTGTTAGTAGCAACGAAGCCCAAACTCAGGCTCTCAGATGAGCCTGGAAGTGAGGGGAGCGTGCCAGGCCGAGATGGAGCCAGCGGGGTGCGTGGGCAGCCACCCTTCCAGAGGGCCCCGGAGCCACTGGCCCCGGCGTTGTCCTCGCGTGGTTGTAGGCCGTGGACATTGGACGTCTCCATTTCCTTCCGTCGTCTACTTCCCTCACGCGTGGAAGGAAACGGTCGGATTGCAGAAGTTCTTGTTTGCACAGCTTTCGTCCCACACACATCACGGGAAGTTTGGTAGCCTGGCTGTGCTGGAGTGATGCTCAGTTTGACGTTTTGTGTGACGTTTGTGTGATACTTTCCACCTCCTGGTGCAAAGTGACGAGATGTGCTCCTCACTACAAGGTTTCCTGTGGGATTGCAGTATTGGCTTCAACTCGGTCTCTCTCTCTCTCTCTTTCTTTAAAGCAATTATTTTTATTTTATTGTATTTTATTTTATTTATTTTTGAGACAGACTCTCACTTCAGCCCAGGCTGGAGTGCACTGGCACCATTTCGGCCTCCTGGGTTCAAGTGATTCTCCTGTGTCAGCCTTCCAAGTACCTGGAATTACAGACGTGCACCACCACGCCTGGCGAATTTTTAAAAATATTTTTAGTAGAGACAGGGTTTCACCATGTTGGCCAGGCTGGTCTCGAACTTCTGACCTCAGGGCCTCCCGAAGTGCTGGGATTACAGGCGTGAGCCACCGTGCCCGGCCTGCAATTATTTTAAAATGTAGTTCTTCCCAGGTTGCTTTTCCCTCCACAGTATTAACCAGTCATTCTAAATGTTGGTGCTGTCACTTAGCAAACGATGAAGCAGAGATAAAGCGAAGCTGTGAGGCTCTAATAGGCCTTCCACAGGGGAGCCCGAGATACAGCGGGAAGTCCCAGCAGCATTGCATTCTGAGCACAGCTTCATAAAACCAGCTCAGACTCTTTCAAACGAGCTGAGGCTCCTTTGATCTCTGCAGGGATTCTCTGTTCAATTCAGAAGGAACCACTTTTAAGCCACTGGGTCAAGCAGATATTTTAAGCCTGGTGCCCAGCATTGAACATTTCTCCTTGACATATGCATGTTCTTCTATCTTGTGAGTATGTTTAGGGTAGAATCAGTGTCTTTCTGCAGTATCAAGGAACCAGTTTCCCATCTTCCAGGATCTTCCAGGGACATGGTTTTCTGAGTGAGCTGGCCCAGGGCAAGCAGGCAGTCATCCTGTATTTATCTCCTTCTAGAAAGTTCTGGATTTTACTGGGACCGTGCACTCCTTCCTGTTCCTCAGAATCCCAGGGTTTTTCCAAGTTGCCATAGGGGCTCTCCAAATAGTTCACTTGATACTGAATTTTACAATGTTTGTAGCTATTGAACACTTGTAATTAAACACATAATCAAATGTATTCTGTGGAAACTCCCCTTGTTAAAAGACATTGAACTGAGGCAGGGTTACCCTTAGGCAGATTGTCTCAGCAGACGTAGTAAAAATGTACAGATCAGGGGAACACAGAAACGCTTACTCTGTCGGGGAAGCTTCGAAGCTAGACACGGAGAGGCCGGCTGCCAGCGACAGGCCTCTGCATTCAGCCTGACTTTGCGTCCGTCCTGGGGCTGGCTCCTTCCCCCCGTGGGCTGGGGTGTTTCCGTGTGCTGCCACCGAGGTGTGTAGGCGCTGGGGGTGTGCTTACTGCACACAGACGTGTGTACCACGGGCATCCTGGGGTGTCTGCCATGCCCTGCTGTGCTGTGGGAGCCGGAGTGTGGTGTTAGCAGAAAGTGGCATTTTCACAGGGCTCAGAGTTGAAGACACACCTGTTATCCTGACGTGTGGACTCCAGTCCCTAGTGCGATTACTGTGTTGAGCAGATGCTGAAGTAGCACCTTGCCTGGTGCCGACCTCCTGGTGACAACGTCACCACCCCCGGTGGACAGCGAGGAAGCAGGGTCAGCCTCCGGCCTGGCTGTGCAGCGAGTGTCCATCTGCCCTGGAGTTCAGCCCTGCCCTTCATTCACGTCGCTGTGCAGCCTGCGTATCCTGGACACCCGGTTCACATCTGGGCAGTGGTGTTCTCGGGCCGTGACGGCACCTAGGAGGACCAAGGCCGCCCAAGGTGATCGGGGACATGTGACACTGAGCATCCCCCTCAGCCCAGATGCCACTCCCAGGAACGGCCGAAATCCGGATGAGTAAAAGCTCATGTGACAGGAGTTTCCGGCCTAAGCAGCGGGACCTGGGTGCTGTGTTCTTGGTGTGTAGGGGCAGTGCTGGCCGCCCATGGGTGCTGGTGCCTCCTGCACTCAGGCCTGCTGCCGTCTGTATATGCGATGAGGAAACTGAACCCAAGAGCAGGCACCATGCCCAGGGTCACTGGGACAGAGGGCAGAGCAGCCTGGCCAGAAGCCCTCGCTGTTTTATGGCAGGGACCCCCAGGGTCGCACACCAGCGTTGTGGCCCAGCGTTCCCCGCAGAAGATTGAGGCCTGCACTGGTCAACCCTGTAGTGCAAGGGCGTGTGTGGCAAACAGCTGGTTTGGAGCCTTGTCAACCAGGCCGGTTCCTTGATGCTTTGAAATCCCTCTCCCAGGGGGCCTGGGCAGGTCGGTCCATGGGTGGCCACAGGCAGCTGGGGCTAGACTCCTGGAATTTCCGGCAGCCCTGCGTCTGTTACAGCGCCAGTGGGTAGAGCTGGATCCCTGACAAGGCCGGGGAAGGACAGCCTCACAGGTGCTGCTGAAGACGCCCTAGGCTGGAGCTGCCCACCCAGGCTGGGTTCTCCTGGACTGAACTCACGTTGGTTTGCTATTGTTGAGAGTCACATAGAATATGTACACAATGCATTTTAACTGCCTCAGAATTCAGGTGTTATCTGGAAACAGTGTAATTACAGTTGGTCAGAATTGGGTTGATAGCTGTTCACTGCAGAGAACTTTCCGGAAGCTTGTGACAGGTGGAAGTAGTGGGGCTCAGAGTTGGTGGGCCACACCTTAGCTATGTGGCCTTAGCCAAGTTGCTTTTTAAGACCTGCCTGTCACTGATGAGATGAGACTGACCACTGGGCCATCCTGAGGCAGACATGGGATTCCCCGCCTGTGCACACTTCCCAGAAGGTGGACGGAGGACACGCTGGCACGGGAGATGGCTCGCAGGCAGCCACGGAGTCTATCTGTGTATCTGAACGTTGGAAAGGACCTTTCTTTTGAAGCTCAAACATTTATGAGACACTGTTACAATTTGGAAGGGATTTGTGGGTGAAATGTGACATGGAGACTGGGTAATGTTGGCATTTGCAGACTGACTTTGTGACTGGCACTTTTCGTGGCTGTCATGGCTTTGGCATAGAGACCCTCCTGAGGGATTTGGTCTGTCAGTTCACGTGTTTGTTGGGTCCGACTCCTGGACAGGCCCAGGAGGGAACTGCCCCGGCCAGGGCCGGACACTTGGCGCCTGCACAGGGCACGAGTGCTGGCGGCTTTGGGGCACACGCTCCCTGCTGCCTCTGGGGCAGATGTCCACCTGCGCTGCTTGCAACAAGAGGCTGGGGCCCCAGCAGACGAGCCATGGTGCCTGAACTGCTCCCGCTGTGTCCCTGCCACGTGAGGCATCTCTTCCTGACCACGGTCCTAAGACCACCTGACCTCTGCCTTCCCGGGGTTGAACTGTGCTTGTTCTCTCCATGGCTGCCGATGCCCTTCCGGTCTTCAGACTTAGCCCTCATCACTCGTGGACTCCTGACCCCACCCAGGACTGACCACCAGAGCCCTGCTCTCTGCTTCCTTTGTGGCTGATGTTGTCCCCTTTCCAGTGTTGTTGTGCCCGTCTACCCTCTGGCTCCTTGCAGTCAGGGAGAGGGCTTTCTTTATACCTCTATCCCCTGTCTTCTAGGGGCATCTCCTGCTCAGTGAAATGTGCCTGACCTGTAGCAGGTGGTTTCTACCAGGGCTTAGTATCAACACAGGGAACTTTTCCAGCCATCACCCCTTCCTCCCCCTCCACCCGCCTCCAGCCCTGAGGTGTGGCCCAGCAGGAGAGAGACTGCCGCAGCCCTCCCTTGGTTGCGTTCATACTTCCTGGGCTCCTCATGTGTCCGTTTGCTGGCGGATTCTCTTTCTGCTGGAGTGTATCCCCAAGCAGCTTTTCCAGAAAGGAAAAGGACCAACTTGCCCGGATCTGTCATTCTCCGTCGAAGCCACTTTCCCTCCGAGCTTTGCAGCATCGAGGAGGCGTCTTCAAGCATCTGACTCTCCTTCTCCCTGGAAGCTTGTGGAGTCTCAGTGCCTCGCCCTCCTGCTCTCCACCTGTGCTCTCTGTTCTGATTATTTACTGAGGAGTCTCTGAGGCTCTTTTTCTTTCTGTCTTATAGTGGCCTCGGTGAGCTCTTCAGCCTCAAGGCTCATCCTTGGCTCTGGAAGAGGCTCTTCTGGCCTCACCCCAATCTGCCCACGTGCTTCAAACACCGCAGGCCCCAGCTAGGTTCCAAACAGGGCGGGTGGGGCCACTCTTCTGTCTAGCTTCCTAGCATGGGCTGGAACCCGAAAAAGTCTCTCCATGAAGCTGAATGGAGAAGAACATGGGTTCCCCAAGGCCCTAGGAGCCAAGCACCACACAGAACCCACCGCTTGACTATGATCCCGAGTAACGTGGACAGCCTGGGCTGCAGAAGGAACGCCCAACGCTGGCGGGAACGGAGGGGTTTTTCTTGCTGGTCTTTCCAGTTCCACATTGTCACGTTGGAGTCCTCGGGTGAGATTTGTGTTGAAAATCCAACCTCTAGGGGATCTCCGCGCTGGTTTTGTCCTTTAGGCGTGGAGGCATGCGTGCCGCACTGTGGCGTCTATTCTGTGCGCCCGCTCACCGCCCTTCTTTCTTTTCCACATGGGGCAGTTTTATCGCTTCTCCCCTGCAGCTGCTCCAGCGAGGTGGGGCCGCGGTGCTCTCAGTAGCGTGTCTCTGAGTCTCGCCGCAGCCCTTGTAGCTCGTCATCCTCCTCAGATGGCACCAGAGGCAGAGTTGACATGGCAGGCAGAATCATTTGCACCCGTATTTGCTAAACTCTCAGCTGTTCTTCAGAAAATTTGAGGAGAAAATTAAACCAAAAAGAATACTTCAAACTCTGCTCAATTTGTTTTGTTCTGAGCTTTCAGTGGCTCTGAGAGCTCATGGGAAATGAGTTCTTTTTCTTTTCTCCAGGCCACTTGAATTCTAATGAAGTGCACCACTTGGTTTTACAAGGTCTTCTGTAAAAATACTTCTTTGTTTAAAAAGCAAACAGCACTGCCCTACCTCAGAGCTCTGCAGCACATACCTTTAAAGACAAAATACTTGAGGTCACCGTGCCAAGGCCCAGAATTTAACCATGGCCAGTAAGAACCATCGAGAATGGCATTTCTGCATTTCTGGGATGACTGTTTTAATTTTACAACAATTTATCCAAAAAGAGAAAAGAGAAAACTGATTTTTTTTTTCTGATTCCTTTTTTTTTTTTTTTTTTTTGAGACAGAGTTTCACTTTTTTGCCCAGGCTGGAATGCAGTGGCGCGATCTCCCCTCACTACAACCTCCTCCTTCCGGTTTCAAGCGATTCTCCTGCCTCAGCCTCCTGAGTAGCTGGGGCTACAGGCTCAGGCTGCCACACGTGGCAATTTCTTTCTGATTCTGAAGCAAAGTATTTGCTGGCCATGCCTGCTGTTGGCTGCTTGGGCGACGTGGTTGCAGCTCCCAGGTCAGGCTCAGGGTCCCTGTGAGAGGCAGGTGGTCGCATGGCTGTCTGTTGCCTCCTGTGTGGGGCAGTGACGGGGCCTTCCGAAGCTTGACTGGTGGGTTAGTTTTGCTTTGAGAGTCTGTGATGTTTCAAAATTTTTGCTGCTTCTTTTTATGTAGCTATTTTTATAATGTGAGTAGAGGTTGAAATAGTTTTTTTTCCCCTGAAATCTCAGTTCAGTCTGTCATCCTTTTTCCTGATAAGCAGGAAGTACCCTATGCTTCTTGCCTTAGAATTACTGATTTAGGCTATTGCTTTGGTGAGGCCACATCTTGTTTTCCTCTGTGGCCCTGGAGTTTGCGCTGTGGTGAGGGGCAGAGCACATCCATCCTTCAGCCAGCGCCGATTGGGTCCCTGTGGGAAAGGGCCCTCCTAGCACCGATGAGGGTTGGGCCCTGGAGTGTGCAGTGGCTGAACAGTCCCCACCTGTGTCTCTCCCACCTGCAGACGTGCCAGGATATACGCACATCCCTGAACATGCGCACATACATGTATACATGTGCACACCTGCACAGACATGCACACACCCCTGTGCACACATGTACACACAGGCATGTCATACCCACATGCACACACACTGACCTGAGCTCCTGTGGAAGCTGCTGGTGCGGTCCCTGCACATGTGGCCGCTGGGGCTGAGGGTCTCTGCGCATGTGGCTGCTGGGGCTGAGGGTCCCTGCGCATGTGGCCACTGGGGCTGAGGGTCTCTGCGCATGTGGCTGCTGGGGCTGAGGGCCCGCTGCAAGGTGTCCTCGATGTTGCTAGGAGGTCAGCGCTCGCAACTCAGGTCCCTTCCACCCGGAGGTGGAGGCAGGAGGGGTGTGGGGAGTCTTCTGCTGCAGCCCTGTTTCCCACCCTGTGTCACGCCCCATGTCCACTCTGTGTCCCACCTTGTGTCCACCCTGTGTCTGGCCCTGTGTCCCGCCCCGTGTCTGCCTCGTGTTTACCCTGTGTCCATCCCGTGTCCTGCCCCGTGTCCACCTGTGTCCACTCTCTTCCTCCTCACTTGGAGCTGCCCCCCACCCACCTGCCATCCCCAGCCCCTTTAGAGGTCACCAGCGCTGGCCCTTTTGTCGCCCAGGACCCTGCGGTGCTCTGCCTGTGGCCCTGCTCCCGCTGCCCTGGAGGGAGGCTGCTCACAGCGCTTCATGCTGGGCACTGAGTGGTGCAGAGTCTTCAAGAAACCTTTACTTTTAAAACTCTTTTTATTAAAAATAAAACTATTAGCTAAAACTGCAGCCTCTGTGGCTTTTCCACCCATGCCTTTTCCCAGAAAGTGTTGTCCTGGCGTCTCCTCCCTCTCTTCCTGTCTGTGACAGTCTCCCAGCCTTTCCTGTGTTGTCCGACCTTGGCAGTGTCCAGCCGGCCTGTCATGGTGTCTGTAGAGCGTCCCTCACGGTGGGCACGCCTGGTGTTTTCTCGCGATTAGACTGGGTGTGGGTTTTGGGAAGACGCCCACAGAGGTGTGGGGCCCTTTCCGTCCCACCGTATCAGGGTCCTGATGTCCACACGGCTTTCTGATCACCTGGCCGAGGTATGTCCACCAGGAGTCCCCTCTGTCGGGTCCCTGCTTTCCCACCCTCTCTGTCCTCTGGAAGCCACTCACTGCCCCCGCCTCCCGGAGGGAATGTCCGCAGACATTATGTGGAATTCCTCTGTGAGGAAGATCTTGTTACTTACTTGTTTGTGGTCACTGATTTTGTCACTATGGACCTACGCCCATTTATTTTCCCTCTAGGCTGTTATCCAGTGTTTTCACCGTGAGTCTGCGTCTGGGTTGTAATCCGGTGTTGTCACCGTGAGTCTGCGTCCGGGTTGTGATGCGGTGTTGTCACCGTGAGTCTGCGTCCGGGTTGTGATGCGGTGTTGTCACCGTGAGTCTGCGTCCGGGTTGTGATGCGGTGTTGTCACCGTGAGTCTGCGTCCGGGTTGTGATGCGGTGTTGTCACCGTGAGTCTGCGTCCGGGTTGTGATGTGGTGATGTCACCGTGAGTCTGTGTCTGGGTTGTATTCCAGTGCTGTCACCGTGAGTGTGTGTCTGGGTTGTGATGTGGTGGGTTGTGATCCAGTATTGTCACTGTGAGTCTGTATCCGGGTTGTGATGCGGTGTTGTCACCATGAGTCTGTGTCCGGGTTGTATTCCGGTGCTGTTACTGTGAGTCTGTGTCCGGGTTGTATTCCAGTGCTGTCACCGTGAGTCTGTGTCGAAGTTGTGATCCAGTATTGTCACCGTGAGTCTGTGTCCGGGTTGTATTCCAGTGCTGTGACTGTGAGTTTGCTGCTCACCTTCTCCAGCTTTGACCACTGGTGACTTTCCTGTCCTTCCCCGCAGGGATGCTTCAGGCCCAGCTTCTGTTTCTCTGCCCCAGCCCTAGAATGAGCTGTTTCTCCAAGGAGCCCTGGTTGTCTTTCGGGGAGCACAGAAACTCTGATCTGGGTACTGGGAGGGCCGTTGCTCCCGGGGTCTCATGGCTGCTGGCCCTTTTGCTGGGCAGAGCTAGGCTCTGTATGTCACTGTCTCATTTCACACATGTGGTTGCTTCTCTGTTGTATCCACCTATCCATCCGTAAGTATACGAAGGTGAACCTGGTCCATACCAATGACTCTGGCTGTCACCTGGCACACGGTGTATTTCAGCCGTCTGTCCTGACACACGGTGTGTTCCAGTCTTCCCTCCTGGCCCATGTGAATCCTCCCTCTCTGCCCGTGAGAACCTGGCTCCCCCAACTCGTCTAGCGTCTGCTCAGCCCTGGTGCACGTGTGAGGATTGTCCTCCCAGGCCAGGGGGAAAAGCCCTGGAGCGCAGTGTTTGTGTACGGCTCCTTCTGGCCTTGCGGTCTCCACTCAGAACATTTTCCGGAGTTGCTTAGGCAGCTCCTGCCCTCTGGCCAGTGTGGTTCTGATTTACGTTCGTGTGTGTGGAGCCTGCATTCCGTCTGTATCCGCTGACCTCCTGGTTGGGTCTTCCCCCAGTAGTTTGTGCGCATTAAAGTTCATCTGGTGTCATGCTCAGTGCTGTGGGCTTTGCTCCATCACCGCAGCTCCAGCCCCTAAGTCCGCGTGCATGGGAGTGACCACGTCCCCCGCACCAGCCCCTGGCACGTCCGGGTCCGTTTCCCATCCCTCTGATTTTGCCTTTTCCGTTCCATATGAATGGAATCATGCAGTACGTAGCCTGTTGGGTCTAGATTCTCTTACTTAGCACAGTGCACTTAAGATTCATCCGTGTTGTTGCCTGAACCAACAGCTCCTGCATTCTTACCTCTGATTATTTTTCTGTTGCACAAACGCACCTCTGGTTATTTATCCACTTCCACCGTGAAAGACGTCGTCCTCGTTTCTAGTTTTTAGTGACTATGAACAGAGCTGCTACGAGCATCTGCACGAGGCTTCTGTGTGAGCACGTTTTCAGGTTGAAGGCCTGAGAGGCGCAGTAGCTGGGTTGTAAGGTAACCCTTCATTACCTGGGTCAGACGCCACCATCTGCCGTCCACAGCAGTATGCCACAGCATCCCCAGCACAGCGAGGGCACTCCTGCTGTCCCGAACCTTCCACACCATAGGCACTGTCCATTTTCTTTCCTTTTCTTTTCTTTTTTTTTGAGATAGAGTCTTACTCTGTCGACGAGGCTGGAGTGCAGTGGCACTGTGTCGGCTCACTCCAACCTCCGCCTCCTGGGTTCAAGCAATTCTCCTGCCTCAGCCTCCCGAGTAGCTGGGATTACAGGCGCCCACCAATACACCCGGCTAGTTTTTATATTTTTAGTAGAGATGGAGTTTCACCATGTTGGCCAGGCTGGTCTTGAACTC